ACAAACAAAGAGGTTAAAAGAATACAACGTATATTCAGTTCTTAGTGGGGCTGGAACTCAATCGAGGATCAACAGCCCCAGGCCTGCCGGAACAGCCAGGTCTTAGTAGACTTTCGGAAGGCCGAGAGAGTGGGGAGGGTCCGGATCTCAGGGGATAGATCGTTCCATAGGGCCGGGGCTGCTACAGAGAAGGCTCTCCCCCGAGGGGCCGCCAGTCGACATTGTGTAGTCGACGGCACCCGGAGAAGGCCCGCCCTGTGAGATCTTATCGGACGCTGGGAGGTATGTGGCAGGAGGCGGTCACGGAGATATCCAGGAGAGACGCAGTGGCTCAGTGGTTAAGACGCTGAGCCTGTTGATCCGAAAGGTCGGCAGTTTGGCGGTTCGAATCCCCAGTGCCGCGTAACGGAGGGAGCTCCCGTGACTCGTCCCAGCTTCTGCCAACCTAGCAGTTCGAAAGCACGTAAAAAACACAAGTAGAAAAAATAGGAACCACTAATTTCGGTGGGAAGGGAAGAGTGCTCCGTGCGCCTTTGGGAGTTGAGTCATGCCAGCCACATGACCACAGAGACGTCTTCGGACAGCGCTGGCTCTTCGGCTTTGAAACCGAGATGAGCACTGCCCCCTACAGTCGGGAACGGCTAGCACATATGTGCAAAGGGAACTTTTTCCCTTCCAGCTCTATTCTGATTGATTGATTGATTGAAACGGCCTGGGGTCTCCTGCTTGAACAGGGGGCCGGACTAGAAGACCTCCAAGGTCCCTTCCAACCCTATCATTCTATGTTCTATGATAATAATCAGCGTTCTCCAACCAAGCACACCCCTGGGCCACTGCGCACGACTTATGCCCTCTTCCCCATCGGGGTCCGTGCTGTGTGTGTTTCCAAGATTTGCCCTGTGCCACCCTGGGAATAAAACTGCATCGCCAGCGACGAAAGGCCTATTTTGCCACAGGTCCCATGCGCCAGGTGCCTCGATGTCGCTCCCACCGGGGTGGGGCACCCCTGGTGCAGAGGGCACCTCACCCACCTGTTGGCAGAGGGCAGGACGGGCCTTCGCACCGAGTGGGGCCCGTGGGGGACCTGTATTGTGGAAAGCGGGCATTTGCCGTGGCGCCAGCTCTGCCCCCCCCCTCTCTCCCCCCATACGGCACCCTTGGTACTGTCCAATCTTCCAGTGGGCATGTTGGAACTTGCCTAGGCTTTAATGAATAGTCATAAGGGAGGAAAAATGGGTTGGCTAGTCAGCGTTCGTTGTTAGATGCAACTCAATGACAGCACCACAATCTTAACAGGTGGGGGGGGGGGAGAGGAGAAGCCAGAGGGAGAACGAAGCCACCTCGGACTACCACGAACAAGCCAGCTTCGGATCTGCCCCCCCTTCCCCGCCGTCCTTCTGTTGTCGGCATCCCCGAAAACCTCCCTCCGCGGTGGCCTCTCTCAATCCTCATGACTCCAGAGGCCAGAAGCTGGCTTGCCACCTTCGAACCCCACGGAGATAAACATGCTGTATGTTAGCAATTCGGGGCAGCCTTACACCACGGTAAGTGCTGGTTTCCTCCGCTTAGGAAGGAGGGAGGAGGGTTAGGGAAGCAGGCTAAGGCTACCAGGAGAACCTCAACGCGCTTCTGAAGGGCCACCAAGGGTTGATCCAGAAGCTGTGGGAGATAGAGCTTCAGTCAATGAGCTATGGAGGAGTTGCATCTTCTCTGCGTTTCAAACTCTTCTCCGAACGCCGGCATCTCTCTCGGTCCCCACCTGTCAATCTCCTGGGTGGGATTAAAAATCCCAGCAAATCTTTTTTTGGGGGGGGGGTGGCTACAAAGGGCACCAAAAATGGATTCCCACCTGCAATTTCCACGCGGTTCGCAGAAGGCTTGGAGATGGGTGCCAAGCCTGGCTTTCGGTCAAGCCAGGATTGGCTAACCGTGGCTAAAGACCAAAACCTTCATTAAGTTTTTAGTTCCGGCCAGCAGGCTCGACAGGACAGGCGAAGGGATGAGGGTCTGTCGTCGCGCCCTTCGAAGGGGATATTAGATTACCGTCTGGCACTCAGAACGATGCCAACTGCACGCAAGACATTTTTATCTCTCTCTCTTTTTAATTGTAGCTGCCTTTATTGGATGGCATCAAATAAATGTCGCTCCCTTTATTTGATCGCGTCCAATAAATAGGATTCGAACGCCAAATGGGGCCCAAAAACGGGAAGCCTTCGGTTTTGTGGTGGGAAAAAAAGAGTTTGACGCTTTGCTCTCGGTTACGGCTTTTGGATTCTTTTAGGATTTAGCCCGTGCCAAGAACGAGGGAAATAATAAAATCTAGATTTGAGGATCGGACGGGAGAACGGTGTTTTGAGGCCGGAGGAAAAAGGATCGTCGCTCGCGAAGGCGTGGCCTTGTCTGTTGCAGCAGCCGACAACATCTGCAGCTTTTCGTGCGTGTGTGTGTGTGTGTGTGTGTGTGTGTGTGTGTCTGTGTCTGTGTGTGTGTTGGTGTGTTTTTCAGCAGTTTTTCTCTGGCTTGGATTACACCGAACCGCAAGACAGTTAGCAGGCTACGTTTTCTGTTGACAAGGCAGCGGGNATGGGCTTTAAAATGAGGTGTCGCGGAAGTTGTAAACTGCTGTCGATCTTGCTGTGACCCCCTAGGAAAAGGTTATGCCCCGCCCTGTATACACTCGGCCAGGAGCAAATCTCACCAGAATGAATGAGATTTTCATCTGCATTAACATGCCGAGGATTGCGTTATAAGCTCCCAGAAAGTTTCGTTAATCGTGCCTAACTTCTTCCATTTTTCACTTTGAAAAAGGTTAAAAAGGATTTTATTAGAATGTGCTTACTTATATTCAGTTACAGTAGGTAAGATATATAATCTTAACAATGGTTTACTCTAAGCCTCCATTTTGAAATGTAATGTTGGAATGCCACACTTTTTTTAAAGTGATGTAACTCTTTCTCCGTGTCTCAGAAAAGGCCCAAGAGGTGCCTGAATGAATGTGAGCAGTGGTGGGAATTCAAATCTTTTTTACTACCGGTTCCATGGGCGTGGCTTTGTGGGCGTGGCATGGCTTTGTGGGCGTGGCAGGGGAAGGTTACTGCAAAATCCCCAATCCCTCCCGATCAGCTGGGACTCAGAGAATAGAGTGGTGGGATCTGCAGCATGCCCTCCCTGCCTGACTGAATGGGACGGGTCAATGTAACTGAGATGAGATGGTTCCTCGTGTAACTGGTCTCATGCCACGAAGGGCTTTAAAAGTGATTCCCAACACCTTGAATTGGATCCAGAAACACACTGGCACCCAGTGCAGGTTGTGTAGCAGAAGTGTTACATGTGCAGCCCTGGGATGTGCTCAGAATTCCTCCCCATTCTGCACCAGTTGCAGCTTCCAGATAGTCTTTAAAGGGAGCCCCATGTAGAGTGCATTGTAGTCAGTGGTGGGTTCCGGATCTCGTTCCAACTGGTACGGGCCCAGCGTCGCCCACATGGACACCTGCGCACATGCGCGCAGCATGCGCATGAGTTGTACCTGCCTGCGACACCTCTGCAAGCTTCTGCGATGCTGCAGCTGCTTGGTGGAGCGTCGCGCAACCACAGTACGCACCATGCGCCATGCGTGTGTGCAGAAGCGCCAACGGCTTAAAGGACAGGTAAGGAGCTTGGGTGGGTGGATGGGCCCTCTGGAACACCATACCGGAACGGTACTCGGTGCTCCGGGCAGGCTCCGGTATGCCCGTACTGGGGTGTACCGCCTGCAACCCACCATTGATTGTAGTAGTCCATGTTCATCCAAGAGATGATCAGGACATGAGGGACTGAAAGGAGGCAAGCATGACCAAGAGGTTAGCATTAGTTGTATTTCTGAAAGCCCCCTTCTACAACTTGGATCCTCTTGATGTATTGGAGCAGAACTAATTTTGCTTTACATTCTGTGTGAGCCACTGAGATTTACTTTTGATTTTAGTGGTATGCAAATAGGTGAGAGAGACAAACAATTAGGCTCCCTTAATTGTCTGCTTGGCTGGAAAATTCTGTTGCAATAGATGAAATTGCCCTGTTGGTTTTCAAGACTTTCAACTTTTCCCCCCCTTGATCTGGGTTTTTGGCAAGGGATTATTGATTTTTAAAGAAACATTGTTAAATATGAACCTGCTTGTCTACTATATAAATAAAATGCTTTCTGGCTCCACTATGTGTTTTTGAAGTGCATCCTGGGTACTAAATCCAAGCCAAGTCAAGTTATTTCCCATTTATTTATAGAAACAGCCCTGCTTGCACTGTGCACTGGAGATTGGGTGTTTAGATGAGCTTTGGATAAGCGGATAATCAATCATTTTGGGATAATAGACATCAGTGTTATTGCTCTGCAAGGTTTACTCTTTGATTTACACAAGTAGATTGTTTTTTATGGCGCTTTAAGAATATTTGTGGCTAAATAATGTTTTTACAACCAAGCCATGAAGGCAAAGCAATATTTCCTTTAAAACTATCAATCAATTGTATGATTACATCTGTACTTCAAGTTTGTTTGGGATGAGTTCCCACCTAGCTTTGTTGGTGCATAAGAAAGCATTGTGAAGTCTATACTTTCTCCTCTGTTATTGCTCTCTGCACAGGGAAGTCTATGTATTACTTCTTGATGAGATTAAAACCAGCTTGTGGCATTTAACAAGGTCATTGAATTTTCTTTTCTATGGTAAAAATTATAGAGTAGGAAGTCTAAAGAGCCAGTAGAAATTAACTTAGGGACTCTCCAGAATGAGCGAGACAAATTCCTAAACAAATTCCTAAACACACATAGTAATACTCATTAACCAATTTAAAAAGACTCTGTTTCCCCAGCAACTTCATTATTTCCAAAGTTTAAATCATATGCCCCATATACCAGTGTTTCTCAACCTTGGCAACTTGAAGATGTNGCCTTCCTTCCTTCCTTTTCTCCTTTCCTTCCCCCTCCTTTCCCTCCCTCGATCCCCCCCTCCTTCTCACATACTCACATAATTTAATTAACCAATTCTTTTCTTTTCAGCAACTGGTGGCAAACCAAGTGACTGGTGCTATTAGAAACACATACCACAACCGCTATGTGGCAGGCCCTGGTGCAAAGACGATCTGTAAGTACAGGACAAGAACATGAAGTACCTCTGTTTATCAACAGGCCATTGCTGAGTCCTTAATACTTCTGATTTTCCTCATAGATTTAGCCCCAGGCGGTTCAGATGACTGGGCTTACGACCAAGGAATTAAGTATTCTTTTACTTTTGAGCTTCGGGACAAAGGAAGATATGGATTCTTACTTCCTCAGCATCTCATTAAGCCGACCTGCTACGAAGCTATTACCGGGATCAAAACTATAGCTTCGCATGTGATTGATAATATGTAAAACATACAATCCCATTTTGGCATTATACGTTACAGCATTTCACCGAGTCCACTTAATTCACATTGTTTTGCTATTTTAATTTCAAGTAAGACTTATTTTCCATGCTTTTTTTGTATGATTAACAGTGTGGGTAATGAGCCTGTTCAAACCTGATTCTGAAGAATGGCTTTCCAGCTCACATGAACACGGAATTGCTCAACTGCTGTTAAAAGCAGCTGCAACTTTCCTCCCCCCCACCATATAAACCTGAAGAAGGGTGCTACTACTTTAAAAGGTCAATTGGAACTCTTAAGGGTTAGGGTTGGAAGACTAAAATTGTGGCTGCTTTAATGAGTAGCAAAATAGTGCTATCCTTATGCAAGGTTCAAAACCTTTCTTTTAGATCATTTCTGAAATATGATGGCTCTGTAAGAAATAACTGATTTCCATGTATTGTCTGTAAGTACATTCAGAGGCAAATGGCCAGATTTTAGGCCTTTGTCTAGAAAGAAAGAAAGAAAGAACTCAGCCTTTTGGCCTTGTGTTGTTAACAGTGCACTATGTGAAAATATCATAGAACCTGCAAGCAGAGGATCAAACATGCATGAAAATAAGGCTTTGTAGTGGTACTGATCCCCAACTTAGGAGAAATATAAAATATTTTCCCTCCTAATTTGGCAACTGTGTGGTGCTGAGACTATCAATGCTTCAGTTAGCAACATTAAGCAATTTTAACAAGAACCAATAAACAAAACCATCTTGGTATCTTATAATTGTCTTAAGAGCACAAATAGATAACACCTGTAACTGGATCTTTTGTCCAGTATAGACAATGAGAATATTTACATTCTTCTTCTTCTTTATGATATAAGCCTCCTGAGCAGGCTAAATTACACCACCTATGTGCAAGAGATAATTATAATCTAACACTGCAGATGGCAGAACAAATCTTAAGAAAAAGACCCAAGGGGAAAATTTCTTCCCCAAATTATCCAATGGCACAGAACACTGATAAACTTAAAGAAAAGGACCAATAATGGAGTGGGATATTTAGAGAAAGAAAACAAAGGAAGAGGCAGAAATAAAACAACCTCAAATGGTTCTGAAGCTCAGGTTACAGTCTGAAGACCATCTGTGGATGGTCTTGGGTGCAGCCAAAGTGAAATGCAAACTGAAGAAATATCTCACCCAAAACTGCACTGCCAATCGGTCTCTGTTTTTTTTTTTGGAATATGGGTGCTCTTAGGGGCTGATCATAGGAAAAAAGCATCCTTGGTTGGGGAGACAATTGCAGTCAGCAAAACAAGCAGCTAACTAACAAAGTCAGTATGTTCAAAAAACCCAAAAAGTGTATAAGCACGCACACACGCGTGCACACACACACACCACTATTAGCATCTGCACTTTTAGATTATGACCTAATACTTTTCAAGGACATTTGGTGAGGATGTCTAGATATATTTCAAATGGAACCTTTTTTGCATATTAACCACAAACTAAATTAAACATCAAGAGTCAGTTTTAGAAGTAGCCTCCATCTGAGACCTGACCTGGAGGAAAAACTGGAAAAAATAATCCCACTTTTTCCTCTAGCATCTGAGGAATTCCACTGAGCATGATGCGTCTGGATTGATCACATCTTCATAATTAAAAAATATAATTTTCTTCATTTAGATAACATACATTGCATTTTCATGATTATTTTTGGATGGTAAAGATTATCAGCTTACTGATCTTACTGAGTAGTAATCTTACAAAGGAAATGTTATGGAAAAGAGAAAAAAGAAATGGAAAAAAAATCAGAACTGTTTTCTTTTTAAAAATTTAATAGATGATAAAGCAGCTATCCCAAAATGGACATTTTTACACACTTAAACACAAGTGACTTTTTAAATAAAATCCATGGTTAGAACTCTGTTGTAAAACATGCAGCAAAACCAGACAAAGTGGTCTTCGTTCTTTGTACTGAATACTTTTCGTTGTCATTCTGTCTCAGAATCCACACACGTACTCTTGAGTATTTTCATTCTTGTGGCAATATCATACTTAAAGGAAATAAGACTGAAAACATCAATATTATCAAACAGTGAAACAAAACAACCGTAGGGCCAGGAGACTCTGGCTCAGGACAGGCACATTTCTGGAACATATGGTTGTGAAAGTTTAGTGTCTTCTGCCTTATCTGGTCCAGATCCTTGCTGCACAGTCTTGCGTTTAAACAATCGTAGGCTTAGCCGTAGCAACTCATTGTCCACCACTGGAGGATTTGTGTAGGTTTGTTTTGTTGTGCCCTGTTGGGACAGAATACGACTTATATTAGCAATGACTGCATGATAAGTATTCTAATGTATAATTACTAGCATTTCAGGAGGAGCATATTTTATTCTGTAAAAATATATACACCATTGAGATTATTGGAGGCACAGCATGAAAAGTTCTAGATCAATGGTCCCCAACCTTTGCAGCTTCGCGGTCTGGCTAGGGGTGGGTGGGTGGAGAGGGGTACCGGGCTGCACAAGCAGTGGGCCGGCACACACGCATGCTCAACTTGCACAAGCAACAGACCAACATGCGCACACATGTGCACAGCTCAACTTGCGCAAGTTACATGTGTGTGTGTCTGCGCGCACACCGGCCCCACAACTTGCACAAGCTGATCTGGGCACCCACAACTCATACAGCCCAGTTATGAATAGGGGCCACGGCCTATGGGTTGGGAACCTCTGTTCTTGATGAAAGATGTCCAAAACAATCATAAACCTTCTGCAGACAGATAAGACGAGGAAGAAGTCAAAGCAGGAAACTCCAAATATGAAGAATCAGGTACCTTTTTCGCAAGTTTAAATGTAAATCAATTTTTCAAAAGAAATATTTTCCCCCCAGAATTCTGGGAGAAAACAGTCATGCTTTTGCGAGATGGGACGGCCATGTAAATATGGCACATAAAAATGAATGGAATGAATGAATGCACACATTTTGAAGATTATGCTTGCTAGAATATAAAAGGCACTTCTGAATACCATGCATTTCACAAAAAGACTCTGAATATTATTTCAGTGGAACAATAGCTGCTCAACAAATAATCCCATTTTTAGAACTTTCATTAACTTCATGTTGCTTTCACAAAGAGGAGGAAAAAAAGGCTTTAAAAATAAATCAGCAAAATATGTTGCAGCTATGTAACTGGATGACTATATGGACAATGGTTTCCGCATCAAAGTTTACTACACGTTAAAATACATTTCAGGTCCTCACCTTTTCATTTTTCACAAGCTGCTTGCGGATTGCAGAATCCCTCCGAAAGCAAAGAGCTTTACAGCAAGGACCCAGGTTGCACAGCAGTCCGGCTCGCTCTTCTTTTCGCAATAGGGCAGCCATATTCAGAGCCCCAAATTCATGCTCAAAAAGGCTCTCTGCATCTACAAAGAGGCAATGTAACGATGAGATTGAAAGTCTTCTAAAATGGGGATTCAGATCACCAATATCAACAAAGACACTATCTAGAGCCGAGGTGGCGCAGTGGTTAGGGTGCAGTACTGCAGGCTACTTCAGCTGACTGTTATCTGCAGTTCGGCGGTTCAAATCTCACCAGGCTCAAGGTTGACTCAGCCTTCCATCCTTCCGAGGTGGGTAAAATGAGGACCCAGACTGTTGGGGGCAATATGCTGACTCTGTAAACCGCTTAGAGAGGGCTGAAAGCCCTATGAAGCGGTATATAAGTCTAACTGCTATTGCNGGAGGTAATTGGCAGCAGGCGGTCTCTCAAGTACCCTGTTGAGATGAACTCAACGCATCAAAAAACGTATTGCCTTCTGTGTCACCTTGGCCCGAAATAAAATTATCATTCCATCCAGGGGCGCAGCAAAAAATTTGCAGCAATGGGTTTGCTGCTCTGTTGCTGGTGGGCGTGGTCATCATGGGCATGGCCTAGTCAACCTCCTGTACCGCAGCGAGGCGGGCGTGACCTCCCCAGGCTCTGGAGGCTTTCCTAGAGCTTCTGGGAGGGTGAACTGCTTCCCCTGGGCTCCGGAGACCCCCTGGAAGCCAGAAACAGGCCTACTTTCGACTTCCTGAACTTCCAGTAGATAGGCCTATTTTACACCTTCCCTAAGCTCTGGAGGCTTTTCTCAAACCTTCAATAGGATGAAAACTGCTTTCTCCGGGCTCTATAGGCCAGAAACAGGCCTGTTTCCAGACTTCCGGAGCCTCCGGTAAGCTTATTTTCCCCTCTCTCCAAGCCTCCTCATGCACTTATCTGGCCCAATGAATGGGCCGCTTGGAGACTCCTGGGAGGGGCATGGTGGGGAGGGGTGGGCAGGGCCAGCCAGAAGTGGGATTTGGAGGTTCGCTGAACCATGCAGAATCTTCACTAGAGGGTTGCCCAAACCTGTGCGAACCCCCAGCAGCCCACCTGTGACCATCCCTATGATCCCAGTGATTTAGGGAAACAGGAGGGAGGAGAGGGGACAATGTCAGGCCTGAAGCCATCTTTTCTTTCGGATCTTTGGCCTGCCATGCTTTCCATTATTCTACTGTGCATTTTCTATTGTGGGAAAATGGGAGGGGGGAATCGTACGGAGTCACAGACTATGTAGCCATAACAAAATTCTTCCTAGAAAGCCAAGGTCATCCTTTGTCTTTGCACCTCTGCACCTGACCGGAACTGGATGGGTGGAACTGCCAGCATGGCAGTGAGAGACTGGACCATGTGATGGATTTATGGGTGCGAGGGCAAGATCTTAAACTTTCAACTGGGTGGGGAAAACCGGGAAGCTTTCAGATTCGGGTTTTCCCAGATGTGCCNGTCTCTGACTATAAATCCTCCCTTGAAAGACTTTGCTGGATCTGAATGAGCAGAAGTCACAGTAAATTTATAAAAGGGATTTTTGTTGGGATAAGGAGTTTGTGTCATGATCTCGGGAAGTCTCGGTCAGAACAGGGGGTGGGGGTGTGTGTGATATCCCACCCTCAAAAGCAGCTGTCATTGCTTGGTTGATGTCACATTGGTTCCCATCATCAGTAGGAGTGAAGGAGATCCCCGAACCTTAATTATACAAAGAATTTTTTTTTTAGCTCTGCTGGTTGGATTCAGGAGGAGTACAAATCAATTCATATACAGTACAAAATGCCTGAAAATTATATCATTCAGTACTTCTGGGTAGAAGATATCTGGTGCCGATTTTCATGCACCAGCTGGGCACTGGGATGAAACAAAACGGGTAAATGCCATAGTGAAAAATGCAGCTTCATAAGAGATGATGGGATGGATGTAGGAACAGGAAGTCAGTGCCCACTGCAGCAGCAATAACTTAATAGTAGCAGTAGTAGCAATTAAACTCTCTTGTAATATCTGTTGAATGCTTAAACAAACAGCTGGAAGGTATCTCGTTACTGTTGGAGCAGACAGAAACCAGGAGTCGATTTGAGGTCATGAAGGTTATTCCAGGACATAGGGAACCGTCCCTTGAAAGGCTCAGTCAAGGTCGAAGGGTGCTGGAAGCTCTAATGTAGCTAAAAAACTTGTAGCAGAGGCTTAGTACAAAATACCAGACATTACGAGCCATCTGCGACCTTGCAATGAAGACGCGCCAGACGATCACAAGCAGAGCGGCCTTCAGGGCAAACTGGATGGTCCTGAGCCTGAGAAAAAAAGAGAAAAGAGAAGGAAAAAAAAAGAAGAGCTGAACTATGGTAGTGTCAGATAAGAGACACCAGATCAACTGCCAGTTGGAATTTGTAGAGTCAAGGTTCAAGATTCAAGGTTCATTTTATTTATATGCCGCCCTATTCCCNAGGCTCCTTCCTGTCTCCTTGTGGCTCACACAGCAAATTTCAGAGTCCAAATAGCCCTCATTGGCTGACTTAGTTGATATGCTTATTCATTGGCTGGCCTTGTTACCATGTGTCAGCTGGATACCATGGATGCTGGTAGGCAGAGATGGATTTTTTTTCTTCCCATTTTCCTCCCCCAAAACTTAAGTTGCGTCTTATACTCCAGAGCTTCTTATACTCCAAAAAATACGGTATATCTGCTCAACAAAACTCTGCATTGGTGACAGGAAGGACATCCGGCCATCAAAACACTCTGCTAGCTCAGTTGCCCAGATTCCACCCCACAAGGGATTATGGGCTCGCTAAAAGAAGATGATGATTGTGGATGCAGGACAGGCCTCACTTTACATGGTATTCCCTTTAAGCTGACACAGATTCTGCCCAAGATTCCTGGGAATGCTGTTTAAGGGTTGGGGTCCTTTATAATGAGGAGGTCCCTGAAGGGCCTCCTGCAAAGTGGGCACACGTATAAAGCCAGTTTACCATTGTGTTGTTGCAGAAAATGACAGGCTTTAGGCTTCTCAGGATATAGGAAAGGTTTATTTGGCAGCCAAGTTCAGAAAGTTAGCGAAATGGCTAACGTTGCAAATTCTGAACAACCTTCATCATCAAAGCACACATTCTTATACATTCTCAAAACCATTGCAACACAGAAATACTTAACTCATTTCTTATTGGTTATTTTCGGGGAAAAGCCTTATAA